TTTTTTTTTTTTTTTCATCTAAAAGTTAATGGAGAAGAAACCCATGTAAAATGCCATCTCTTCACAGCAGCTTTTAAAAGCATTTTCCTTTATAGTAGAACACGATGAACTTCATAAATTGTCCTCTTTAGTTTGTTATTATTACATTGACTTATTTGTGTGTGTGTGTGTGTGTGTGTGTGTGTGTGTGTGTGTGTGCCTACCACAGCACTTGTATGGAAGGCAGAGGAAAAAACCTGAGTCAGTTGCTTCTCTCCTGCCATGTAGATCCTGAGGCCTGAACTCAGGTCATTGGGCTTGGCCACAGTGTCTTCCTATTGAGCCGTCTCAACAGCACAATTATCACCCTTTGATGTAGGGCGCGGTCAGATATCGCAGGGGACAAGACTGGGGTAAGCCAGTAACGCTGTGTCCCTTACATGGACAGACAGGGCTCCTGAGTCCTGCCTCCCAGGTGACCTCTGTGAACTGCCTTGCCGGTGTCACGGTTCTGGCTGTGTCCCTTTCCTTCCCTGATTTATTTCTTCGGTCAAATATTTGCAGTGCAGCCAGCTTGTGGAAGAGGCGAGGGAGCCACCAAGACCGCTACAACGCGCTCCAGCCTTGTGGTACTCATCGAAAACAGATGACACATGTTCCCTGGGCTGGAGAAAGGACAGAACCAGGGTGTCTCAGGCTTGCTTCCTGAAATTCAGCCTCCAGCAATCTCAGCTGGGAGCTGAAGTCCCATACTAGTTAGGTGACCGGAAAGCCAAACCTCGCGCCCCCATTCTTTGCTGTTTTCTTCCTTCATGCTGTCTCCCTCTTGCCTCTCTCTGTTCTTCAGTCTTTTTTCTTTTTTTTTTTTTTTTCTTTTTTGGTTTTCTCCTAGTTCCCTGCAGACCTCCCCAGAGCCTTTTCCAAGCACTCATTCTCTCAGTCACATGCTCCCGGAAACACTGACTCAGATTTGGGAAACTCACAGCAGGTATTTTGTCTTATGCCACTGGCATTTCCTGTCTCTCCACAGGAGCGAACTGTGACATATCTCAAGGTGTTTTCCTCTCCAGTGTAGTTGTCTGAGGGTGCTGAGATCAGGAAAAATCCAGAGAGATCAGAGTAGGTGCCAGGGGCTAGGGAAATTGGGCCTGTAGGCCAAGAGAGTGTTTGTTTTGCCCTCAGCCTCTGGAGAAGCTCAGCACAGATGCTCACATCCTCCTCAGGTCAACGGATGCCCTGAATATACTGTCTGGGGCCCAGGACCAAGTCTCGGAAGCAAGAATCTCCAAGAGGAGGCTTTGATCAAAAGAGCTTTCTTGTTCCTTTCCCAGTAACTCCACTATCCTCTCCCACCCGTCCCTAAGAGGATTAAAGCACTGTCATTTTTAGAATTCAGTCACTCCTGGGTCTGGGGGTGATGTTATTTCATGCTCTTAACACACTGGGAGGCAGCGAAGCCTCGTGGCTGTGTCTGCTCTTGGCTCAGAGCAAGGTCTTTACCCCTTGGCCTGCGTTTCCTTGCTCTTCCTTTGCCGCCTCAGAAAGCTGCCCGTCAGCCACACCGGGTTCTTCCCTGGGCCAAGCTCTCCGAGGTCTACTGTCAGATGGAGACGCACAGGGGATAGGTGTGCTCAGTGCTTTTTTTTTTTTTTTTTTTTTTTTTTTTTTTTTTTTTGGCAACTTGTAATTCACGGAGGGAACAGATGCCAATGGGGCTGTGGACTGCTTAGAAAGTGATGCAGTTCTCTTAAAAATCAGGCCTTGGGGCTGGAGAGATGGCTCAGCGATTAACAGCTCTCGCTGCTCTTTCGTTGAACCAGGGTTCAGTTCCCGGCACCCACATAGTGGCTCACAAATGTCTGTAACTCCAGTTCCAGGGGTCTGGTGCCCTCTTCTGACCTCCCTAGGCACTGCAGGCAGGTGGTACATAGACACACATGCAGGCAAAATACTCAACGTGCATCGAAAAAAATCCTTCAAAAAAGGTTAAGTTCTAAAGAGCCACAGGGTGCTTTGTTTTCTTGAACTCAGAGGAGTCCAAGCTGGTTTTATAAGGAAAGCGGGCTTGGGACAACTCAGGAGATAAGGACAGATCTTTGTTGTGAAGATCTAGTCCTAGAATTTTCAATCAGCAGAAAATATATTGTAGGGGCAGGGTTGGGCCTGGCACGATGCCCTGGCACGTTGCCTGGCCTTAGAACCAACAGTTATGTAGCGTGATGACGGCAGCCGAGGGAATGTTTACTTCTAAAGGATTCCTCTGCATGATGTACTGACTTTTCTCCAAGAATGTAACCAAGAACTTGCCAGGAGCAACAGCGCGCTTACCCCTCTAAGGATCTTATCACTGACTGGCTGCCTTGGGTAGAAGCTTCCAAAAATCCGTGGGTGAGGAGAAGAGGGGATGGGACACGGGTCTGGAGGCAGTATTTTTGATAGCGGTGCTTTGCAAATAACGTTTGGACCAGATTATAAATTGGGAACCTTTAGCGTTGACATTCCACCTTTTTTGTTGGGTCTAGCACAGTTTACAAAGTCATTCCAGGCAAAATGCGTAATTGAAGCCTCTATCACCAAGGCCATAACACGGACCAGAAAACACCCTTCATGTTCAAACGAAGGACAGTTGGTTCCATTTGGGGATGCTCTGGGAAAGCCAAAGAAAGAATGCACCGTTCGCCTAAACCTTGAAAGGCAAACTATTCACGCAGTGGGTAAGGTGGAGTGGTAGGAGAGAGTCTAGAAAAGGGTGGGGGCTGGGGCAGGGCTGGACTTGTGGGACTGGGGCACTAGATACAGAATGGGGAAGCTGGGAACTTGGTTGTGAGTCCTCAGGGTCAACAGTAAGGCAGCCGACTGTGAGGAGGGGAGCTAAGGAGAAAGCCAGCCTGAGAACCGCCCTGGTTGGGAGGAGTCTCTGGGGGTCTTCACTGTTTCTTCCACCCACTAAAGGGGCTGTTTTGGGGATAAGGACCCACACAGAGAGATCATCAGAGAGTCTGTTTTACAAATGGAAGCTCACCAAAAGATGTGCTTGGAACTGTCAGAGCCCAACAGCAGTTCTGTATTTTCCCTCCCTCCAGTGGCTTGGTCTCACTCAGGTTCTCCCTTCTCAGTGCAAAACTATAACCATAAAAGAGACTTATTTTGAGGGTCATTTCTCTTTTATTAAGGTATACGTGGTCATCATACAAACAACACACACGGAAACCACAACCACACACACAGAATAAATTAATGACATCTGTATCGGACAGCAGACGGCAGAAGACGCTGTCCTATTAGCAGGGCCTCCATGACTAAGCACCTGGAGGTCCAGGAGGTGTCGGCTGACCTGAGAGTCTTCGATGCATCTGTGAGGTGTTTGGTGTCCAAGGCCCCCTCTGAAACCCAAACTCCTTTCACAAAACCCACACACGGGGAAGATGAAGCAGGGCAGTGGGGGCAAGAGGTAATGAGTTGAGCAACAATTGAAGCGGGACCAAGAAGCCTTCCCTGCAGCTTTAGGGTCAGCTGATTTCCTGGAGCTTGCTCTTTACCAAGGCCCTGGCTCCCCTGGAACCGTAGGCATGTCCCAGTAGTGGGAAGAGGTGGGTGAAGAACTTGGTTTTGTCCTCTGGGACTGCAGGGTGAACGCATCTTACCAGCTCACTCTGCCTCTGGTTAAGCTGTCTGCCTCCCAGATCTTGCCTGTCACTTCTAGGAGGAATAGAGAGATGTGTCCCTCGGGAAGCTCACCACGGTGGCAGTGGTGGCAGCGAGTTTCAGCAATGTATGCAAATTCTCCACTAGTCACTCTCCTTAGTACGGTGTTGGGAAAGTCACCTAGTTTCTCTATGACTCATGGGTCCTAGCTGTAGATGTAAGAGAGCCTATTTGCTGTTGGTATTGCCAAATGCCAAGCCAGACTTGGGTGAAATGTTCACCACCTTTCTTGTCTTCTTGTCAACCGTGTCTTTCTTTTTGTGGGAGACAGGGTCTCTCTCTATAGCCCTGGTTGTCTTGGAACTCTCGCTGTAGACCAGGTTGGCCCAAACTCAGAGATCTGCCTGCCTGCCTCCCCAGGTGAGGGCTACCATGCCTGGCCCTTCATTCCCTCCTTTCTACTTCCCCGTTTTGTTTCTAGGCTTATATCTCTTTGGTGGTCAAGTAACCACGTAACCACAATAGTACGAAACTACCTTTTGACCAGCAAGTCTTCCTACACAGACTGCTGCTATGTGTTTAAGTACAACACTGGGAGGGATCAGGGGACGTGCTCCAGGCACTGCTGAGCCCAGGAGAGCAAGTTGAGAAGCCTGCGGGCACCTGTTAGGAAGTTATATTGGGCATCTTGGTGAGCGAGGTACCTTGATAGTGCATGGACAAGGAAAAGTGGAGCCGACCTGAGCCGGAAGCTGAACCCTTGACATAGTGATGCTTACAGCCTTCAGCAGAAAGCAAGCCACCCTTCCTAGGAGTTGGAGGGACAGAGGTGTAGGTTCCTCTCTCTACCTGCCTGGGCTGTTCACCGAAAGGCTAGTTTGGTGGATCACAGTGATTGGGCAGAAATCTACTTCTCCGTCTTTTCAGTCCAGCCAGCCAGTTGGCCACTTGGTATTCCATCAGTGTTTCATAGGATACAGGCTGAACTGAACGAGCACCTCTGTCTGCCCATGTAGCACCTAATCTCTCACTAGGGCTCCTCACATTAATGCTGAGGTAGTGGTGGGGTGGGCGATGCCCGTCTTCCTTTCATAGATCAAGAAGTCTTCAGAGAAAGGATGAACACAGCTGAAACACAGTCAACACTGGTCCTTCAAGGCATGGCGCTCACCTGGTCCTCAAAGACTGACCTCTAGCTCTCCTCCCACGGTTCCTGGTTCTGCGGGACCCAGACTGGCCTCTGTGGCCAGCCCCACCTTGCCGCTTTTCACACTAGTGTGGGCTTCAAGTCATCTTTGAAGTTCACGACGGGCTTGGAGCGTGCCCACAGCTTTTCCCAGGAGGCCAGTCCCGAAGCCATCTCAAGGTCACTGTCTGACGTGTCACTGTCATCGGAGTCTAAAGAGCTCTGGAAACAGATTTCACAGTAGGGCCGGTGGCAGCGGCAGAAGAACTCATCTGAGCTGCTGGAGTCACTGTCAAGGTTGTAGCACCCAGAAGACAGGGAAGGATGGCCAGAGGACGCTAGGGCTTGAGATCGATGCTGCCTGGGCAGAGCTGGCGAAGAGGGTAGGCATGGGGCTGTGGGAACTTGTGCCTGGGCAGAAGCCGAAGGAAAAGTTACATTGCATCCTTCAGCCCCCTGAGGCTCAGTCTGGCCTTGCCTGCTGCCCTCCAGGGTACCCTGTCTCCGGTGAGGATCTGAGAGTGGTGACGGTTTTACAGAGATGGATCTTGGGATCTTGGACCTTGCATTGTGGTGGTCCAGCCGGGGACTGTCTCTGTTCTGCACAGTCAGCCCACTTTGCACACCAGAAACAGTACTATTTGCCTGATGCCCCACATTGAGGGCCACAGAGCCAGGGATGTGGGAACGAGCCCGCTGGGCTGCCCGTCTCCTCCTTACCACATACGGGCTGAAACCCAGCTTAGATGGGGACAGCTTCTGTGGGCTGCGGGAAGTTGTGCTCTTCCACAGTTGCTGGGAACCAGGTTGTGGGGAAAGGGGAGCCTCAGGGCCCAGGTCCAGCTCTTGTAGGACTTCCTGAAGCTTCTCTCTCACCACTGAACTGACCCGAGGTAGCTTCTCTGGGAGTTCCTCTGAGTTCTGCCTGGGCCTATGAGGCTCATGGACCACTCCATCTGCCATGAAACTCTGGCTGGAGGCCACGGGTCCCTGGGCTTCTCTTTCAGGAGCCTCACTTTGCTCATCCTGGGGCTTCTGGCTCCTGTCCAAATGGTCACAAAACTGTTTCAAAGGTGCGTTGTCTTTTTGGTCTGGGGAGGGACTAGTGTCCCTTCTAGATGCTGCAGGGCTTTGCACGTGCTGGGAAGCCACCGAGACACAGAGAGAGTTCTCAGCAGCTGCTCTGACATCATTCTCAGAGGCAGCAGGGTGTTCTGAGGGTCCCTGAACTGCCAGCCCGTGGGCAGAGGCTGCAGCTGGGACAGCCCACTCCGGGGAGTCATAGGTATACTCCGCAGACATCAGCCTCACCAGCTTCTCCTTGGCGTTGCTGACTTGTTCTTGCAGGCTTTCAATTACTGCATTTTTCTGCGGAAGAGAAGCAAGACCATTAACAAAAGATGCCGCTAAGGGTTGTACAAAGCCCTCCATGGTGGAAAGTGTGACCCAGGCTTAAATACCAGCTCTTCCAATGTGTTAGTTGGTGGCATAAAGCTCGGAGGTGGGACTTCCACCAGGTGAAATGATGCATGCCACATCTTTCGCAAAGTAACTGATATGTGGTGCCCGGGAAAGGCTGGAAGATCATTGTCACTATGGGCGCCCTATCTCTCTTCTTCCCAGCCCTAGACGGTGTACTGCTGTCCTTGAGGGTCAAGGGGGCCTAGCCTCAAGGCTTGCTGGTAGCTGCACATCATCTCAGCTTTCCCAGCCCCAAGAGGGTCAGGTTCCTCTGTAGGACACCAGCCCGAATAGTGTTTGGGATTGCCCAGCTCTGGTTTCTCACACTTGTGTAAGCCACAAATAAATCTGAAGTATATCTCTAGGGATGACAAACAAGAATACAAATGTTTTGTCTCTTCTCAAACCTCCCAGAAAGTTGGAAGAACTGGGTAAAGAACGATGGAAATTCCTGGGACAACTTTTCATACCGGAGCTAAGGAGAGCCAATGAGAATCTCAATTTGGTTTCAACACTCCTTTGGAAGTGGCAAGGCCTCCTGGTGTGACAGGCCTAAGCAACCAGCTGGCTATTAAAGAATAACTCTTAAAGAAGTGTGGGTATCAGCATTATTGTAGCTTAACATGAAATACTAACAAGAATGACAGCAGTATTACATTAAAGTAAAAGTCTACAGAACAACACAGAAAACAATCAACACAACAAAGTGATGATTGATAGCCTCCTAGAAGACGTTTATCATCTATTCATCTTTAGAGGGTCAATACACAGACTTTATAATGAATATTTTTTAAAAACCCTGAACAGTATGGGTATAAGGAATCCATTTTTAAAATGGGTGGATTATTTACATAGGAACATCTCAAAAGAAGAAATACAAGTAGTCAATAAAAATATTAAGAGACACTTGACATCTTTAAGCCATAAGGGATATACAAAAATCAAAATCACACGGGACTCTACCTTATCCAGTTAGGATGTCTACAATTAAAAATGCTGGTGAGGATGTGGAGTACAGAGAACCACTATGCAATTTGGTAGGAATGGAGTTAGTACAGCCACTGTGGAAATCAGCATGGAGACTTTTCAAAGAACTAAAAAAAATAGAACTACTATATGATCCAACTATCCCAGTCCTGAGCGGACATATATCCAAAGAAAATGAAGTCGGTATAAAGGGCTATCCTTCAGCTCATGTTTGTTATAGCACGGTCTATGAAACACGAAAGATAGAAGCAGCTGAGGGGCCCACCAACAGATGGTTTAATAAAGAAAATACAATATATACCAAGAGAGTATTATTTAAATATGAAGAAGAATGAAACACTGTCATTTGCAGAAAAATAGGTAGAATTTTAGGGCATCATGTTAAGTGAAATACTTCTCCTCATGGGCTAAAAGTAGAAAGGGGACTATTAGGGATTAAGAAGGAAGCGTAGGAGAGGGTGTGGATGGCCGTGACAGATGCGCATTATATGCGTGCACAGAAATATCACAGTGCGTCTCATTTGTTACGTGATGATACGAAAACAGAATTCCTGCAGAAGCTTCAAGCAGAGAGCTTGATTAAGTAGCTCTAGAGCACAGCCCAGAAGATGAAGGTGGCCGGGGTGGGGAGCAGTCAGGGGGGCTGTGAGGGGTGAGGCAGTTCTCCCATCAAGATACTGTCCTGCTGCGCAGAAGTTAGTGGGCAAACAAGAGGGCCCACAGGTGACAGCTGCAGAAGTGTGCCTGTCCCAGTTGTGGGGCAGGAAGTAGCTGAGAGTGTAAGCTAGCCGGTGGTGGGTGTCTGGGCCTGTCTTCACTCCTGCCTTTGTGGAGTGCTTTAGTGAGCTGCCTGGCTTGGGCTGTGTGTCTTCCTTTGGAGAGGTCTATGCTCAAGGCAGAGGGCCAGTGATAAGAGCCTCCTGAGGACTGGATAGCCCGGGGTGGATGAAATGGACCACGGGGAAGATGGCAAGCATTGGGGCTCCAACAAGGGCTGTTTGGATAACACAATGCCACCCCTGTGGCTGCCTTCCTTTTTGGGGGCCAATGACCAGTGCTGGGACACCCTTTTATCATGCCCTAGAAACAGAAGAATGGCCCCTGTCTTACAATAAGAAGTAATCTAGCCTGCCCATGCCCTGAGCTGATGTTTGCCTGTCAAGTTACAATGCAAAAGTCATCCAGAAATGACTCTTTTTGGTTAGAGACAGGATCTCACATTGTACCCCAGCTGGCCTAAAACTTGCTACAAACCTCAGGTATTCGTGGAAATCCCCCTGCTTTGATATCCCAGGCATTAAGACTACAGCCATACTGGGGCTGGAGAGATGGCTCAGAGGTTAAGGGCTCTAGCTGTTCTTCCAAAGGTCTTGAGTTCAATTCCCAGCAACCACACGGTGGCTCACAACCACCTATAATGAGATCTGGCGCCCTCTTCTGGCATGCGGGTGTATATGCAGATAGAACATTGTATACATAATAAATAAATCTTAAAAAAAAAAAAAAAAGGACTATAGGCATGCACCATGACACCCGATCAGAAATGCTCACACAAGGGGGCAGTACTTTGAGTAAAACTTTGCAATAGACTTGCAGTAACCCGGGAACCCCCCTGTTCCTGTGTAAAATCGGGAGGCCGTGTTTCCTGGTGTTGGCTCTCCTGGCTTCCCGATGGATTAGTCATCTTTACAATCATCACAGGAGGGGCCAGCTGGTGAAGTGGGTGGGAACTTCCCACCGTCAGGTCTCCCTCTCCCCTCCTGAGGAGTGGTTGGCTTGGCTCTGTTTGGGTGAGTGAAGAGCACTTCGAACAGAGTCCATGAGTGACAGGGGACACTCAGGCTTCCTTGTACTATGGGGGATGTGTCGGGTGTCTCTGAGGACCTCAAAGACAATGGCTCCCCAGGAGGGACCTGGCCCCTTCCTTCCCGGCACCCACTCCTGAAACTCCCTGCAAAGCCCCAGCCGGCAGGAAAAAGCCATAGCTGCTGACTGTGCTCTCGGACAGTGGTTCTCAACCTTCCTAGAGCTATGACCCTTTAACAGTTCCTCATATTGTGGTGACCCCCCCCCAACATAAAATTATCTTTGTTGCTCCTTCACAACTGTGATTTTGCTGTTATAACCATCTGATATGCAGGATATCTGATAGCTGACGGGGGGGGTGGGGGTGGTGAGGAGGTTGTAATCCACAGGTTGAGAAACAGTGCTCTAGGGGTAAAACAGGACTCCTCTGAGTATAGGAAAAGCTGAACCTCCAAGTGGGAAGAGCCCCGATCTGCAAGCTAGGCAAAGATCTGAAGCTGGCTGACTGCAGATTCAGAAACGTCAATGTAAATGGTCAATTTCCCTTCTTCCACCGAAGGCAGCAGGGGAGGGGGGGGAGGCCCCGGCCTCTGTTCACCAGCAGGGGGGGGGGGAGACCCCGGCCTCTGTTCACCACCGCTCCGTGTTAATTAGAGCCATGGTGTGAGGTCCTGTCATTGGCAGCCCCAAATCTGACCTCCCGAGGCAGCAGCTCTTAAATGAAATTTTAAATCATTATTTTGGTCCCTGGCGGGAAGCAAAATGTCAAAGGCGTATTGAAGAGGCCCCAGGCCCCAGGAGTCCACATTTCGCTTCTCTAGTACTGGGAAGGAGATGGCAGTATTCTCTGCTGCAGAACATGGAAGGCAGGGTTGTCAGCATAAGGGGACAGTCTGTCCACTGCTGTCCTGCACAGTGGGAGGTCAATGGCAGCTGCCGCTGTTAACCCCTTCCAGGGCAAGAGGTCAAGAACAAGAAAAGCTGGTTGTGATGGCACATGCCTATAATCCTAGGACTTGGGGAACTGAGGCAGGAGGAGCACAATTTGATGGTAACCTGGGCTACCTAGACACTGTCTCAAAACCCAAACCAACCAACCAAACAAGAAGCAAATGAGAAGCTCGGCTGTCAGATCATGGAAACTGCGAAGGGTTCTGGGAGCTCATCCCAAACCCTGGCTGGACAGGTACTGTCCCATAAGGATGGGGCAGGGCTGGCACCCAGGCTGCAGAGCAAACCATCCCTTGCCTGCTACCCCAGGTCCCCAGGACTGGCTGCTGGCTCTTGGGCCTGTTCCATGGAAGATGCTCAGGTAGAGCCAGCGGAACAGAGGCAGCTTTTTGCTACTTCTGCACTTGAGCCTGCTGAGGGCTCTCTCCCTGCAGACTCGAGGTTTCCTTTGGAAAGAGCACATTCAGCCCTGGCGTGGGAAACAGAAGAGCATGGCAGAAATACAATAAGCTGCTCAAAAGAATTACCATGAGGCTAGGGAGTCCGTTCCAGCCCGTCCGGCCGCCCCAGTTGTTAGCTGACTGTAAATGAAAACCATCCTGCTGGTTCTAGCCAAGTTTCAGGCCTTCTGTTCATCAGGGAAAGCGTTTCTCTAAAGACTTTACAGAGAGCACCAGAGGTGTGGCTGCTCCCCCTGCCAGGTGGAGAGAAATCTGGCTTTGAAATAATGACCAGAACATTTAATATACAGTAAAGAAAGGAGAGGTTTCCTGGTGGATAAAGAAGACCCAAAGGGGAGGGTGTATTGTAGGGGACCAGAGAAGCAGGGCTCAGGGGTACTAGCCAGGTCTGGCCCTTCATCTGGGTGCTTCTTAGGTCTCCCCACACTATTCTCTTATGCTCAGGGAGCAGTCCCTCTAACCAAAATAATAATAACAATAATAATAACAGTAACAATTATTATTGTTATTATAATATTACAATTATTATTATTATTATTATTATTATTATTATTATTATTATTTGGTTTTACCAATAGCACAAACTCAAGTATGTTCTGCATATGGGTGTGTGTGTATAAAATTTGATTTATATAGTGTCAAAATACTTGCTAGTTTGTTCACATGGGCCCCATGCCACCTTCTGTGTCTATGGAGCACAGGCCCTGAGTTTTCTTCACATGCTTGACTCAAGCCCACATTATGCTTTTCCGGGAGAGGGGCCAATTCTGGCTCAAGTACAGACTGAAGAAGGTCTGGGGCACCTAAGCTGCCTTGATGTGGAGACCCTTGTTCACCTTCACCCACATCTGGAAGTACTGAGCAACGAGAAGGTTGATGTCTCCGGTCAGCTGGTGACGTCAGGGAGACCCATCGGGTCCTGGACACATGGCGTGGCTGGATGTAAAGAATGTTCACACAGACCCTGACATCTACTGGAGCTCAGGGTCTTTCCACTGTTGTTCCCTCTGCATGCGTTTTTTTTCCTTTGTTTGAACTCTACACCTGGCCAATTGTTCTTCATCATTATCCTTCATCCAGAGTCTTGCCTCACCGTTCTGCTGTGTTCCTTCACCTCTTCCCCCAACCCATTCATTATTCTCATTCACCATCCTGATTCTCATCACAATTAAGAATTCTTGAACTTAAGAGTCCCACATAACCCAGATTGGCCTTGAACTCCTTATGTAATAGAGGATGACCTTGAACTTCTGGTTCCCCTGCCTTCACTTCCCGAGTGCTGGAACCATAGGCAGGTGCCACCGCACCCGGTTTAGTAGTTATGGGATGAAAGCCAGGACGTTGTGCATGCTGGGTAAGCACTCTCTCCATCTAGCTGCATCTCCAGAGCTTCCTATCTATCACCGTCGTTTAAATTAAATGTTCACGCAATCAATAGCCATTTGTTCCACTTGACTGTGAACTCCATAAGGTCAGGAAGCAAGTCTGCCTTGGTCATCAGCATGTTTGTAGCACAATGACTCGGTCTACGCCTGTCCGCTGTGGGAGCGAGATGGGTGAGGGTCACTGGGGTGATGGGGAAAGAAGAATGATCGAGACAGAGACTGTTGGCAACAGGAAAGTGTGGGAGCGTGAGGGCATGCGGGGCCACGAGGGAGTGCGGGACTGTGAGCCTGGAGCTCCTGATAGGGAGCCTGCTAGGCAAGGTGCCACTTACTTCTGTGAGGAGCCTCTCCATGCAGCTCTTCTCATCCCTCAAGTGGCAGTTCAGGTCCTCATCAAACTGGCTGTGGAGACCTTTGCTGGGAGTGCTGAAATATTTGGCCATGTGTCTGATTGTTTGGTTTTCTCCTTCAAACTCCTTCCATTGCTTCAGCTGTTAGCAAGAAGAACACATATTATTTATTTAATTACACACCCAGAAACGCTTCCCTTGCTCTTTCTCATAAACACCAAGGAACGACACTGTCACCAACACACATAAGCACGAGCTATTTACTCCTTAAAACTCCGATTTACTACTATTTGCTCTGAGCGTTCATAGACAGTAATGACTGAAAACCCGAGAGTATTAAGGTTTCTTGCTTTTAAAAGGCCCGGGAATAAGACAGAATATGATAGAAAACAACCTCTCTGTTGTCAGAGTGTCAAAGGAGATCACAGCAAAGACATGTCTAGAGCAGCATTCGGAAGCTCTAGCGTGGGAGCTTACTAAACAATAATGTGTCTGTGAGACTGTTTCTAGTTGTATCCAGCTATTTTTAGTCATTCTTTTTCAGTTGTTGAGAAGTGATGTGTTTTTCTGCTATTGAGAGCCCAGTTCATGGTTGGAGGCTCTCTAACCCAAATTAATGGCCAAAGCGCAAATAAAAACCTGCATCTGTCAATCAAAATAGAATGTCAGTCCTGACACGTGGCTGTATTTTCTAACAGGGAAACCCGTAGGAGTGTGACCTTTCCAAGGTCACACATCACCTATGACAGACCCACCCCCCGGCTGTAACCAGGACCACCACAGCGTAGAGTCTCATAGAACTAATGAAGAGACAGAATGTTGAGGGGTCCAGAAACTATCGTTGGGGAGCCATCTGTGGAGGTATGATCTGGCTGGAGCATTCTCAGATTGCTGGGACACTGTGCCCACCTCGTGAGTGCCAAAGGTGTGAGCGATGGGAGACCACAGTGGTGGAGGTGAAGCCATCTTACCCTCCACAGTCTCGGCACCCAGAGTCGAGCATCTTTGGAGGGCTGTCAAGGACTGGCTGTCAAACACATGCATAAAGCCATGTCAAACTTTGGATTCCTCTCCCCTAAGCCCAGAGACTCATGGGTTTGAATGCTTGGCCATAGGGAGTGGCACTATTAGAAGAGGAAATGTGTCACCGTGGGGGCGGGCTTTGAGGTCTCCTATGCTCAAGCTCTGCCCAGTGTGGAACAGTCTCCTTCTGCTGCCTGATCCTCCAGCACCAAGTCTGCCTGAACGCTCTCATGCTTTCCACCATGATGATAATGGACTAAATCTTTCCGACTGTAAGCCAGTCCCAACTAAATGTTTCCTTTTATAAGAGTTGCCTTGGTCATGGTGTCTTGTAAATAAGACAGATGGCAAACAGAATTTTGTGATGGTGATATTAAGGCTGGGGATGGAAAGATTAGTCTGGATTATTTGTGTGGGTCCAATGTCATTCCGAGAGTCCATATAAGAGAGAAGGAGGAGCTGTGTAGTGGTGGCGAATTCCTTTGATCCCAGCATGTAGGAGACAGAGGAAGGTAAATCTCAAGGCCAGCCTGGTCTACAGAGTGTTCTAGGATAGCCAGGGCTACACAGAGAAACCTTGTTTCAAGAAACAGAGAAAGAGAGAGAGAGCCAGAGAAGAGGGCAAAGAGAGATGTTGGTATAATATTCTTGTGGAATATATACAATTTACCCTTGTTCATTCAAACCATGATATATCTACCCCACTATCTGTTTTTAGTCGGACATTGCATCCTGATGTTTATTCTAAGCATCACCTGTCTCAAGTTTGTGTAACTATGCCACCATTTGTTCTCTGTGTTGTCAATAAAACAACTAGGCAATGCTGTGGAATGGAGAGAATAAGGTAGGACATTCTGGTCCAGAGGGGAAGAGAAGGAAGTGAGTGGGAGGAGTCGGAGAGGAGAGATCAGTAGGACAGGACTTGGAACCACTAGGAGAGACAAACTCAACCTAAGTTATGACTAAAAGCAAGTATAATGTGGGAAATCTGAATGGGAGGAAACTATGCAGGCTTAGAGGTTTAGGATGGAGTAACTATTGCCCAGCATTGTGCTAGTCTAGGTTAATTAAATAAATCCTAGTCTCTGTGTGGTGATTTGGGTAGACAGCTAGTTTAGGAACAACCGCTGTTTAACTAAAAGATAAATTGATAGTAAATATTAATAACCCACAACAAATGGCACACCAATGTGTGGCAGAATTTACAGTAATCTAGCAAGAACTTACATTGAAAGTAAAAGCATAGAACAGTTTTTTAGTTCTGTTCCTTAAAAACAAAGCAAAGGCAGTTCCTAAACTAGGAGCTCAGATTCCAGAGTAGACAGATCCCCTGCAGAGCCAGCAAGGCCTCCAGCAGGCTGCAGAAAAACAAAAATTGATACACACAAACCTCAGAAAGGCAGTTTCTTTATGTAAAGAAAAAATAAAAGTAACTCTTTAACCAAGAAGCTTTTAAAGGCCAGACTTTGCTAGCCAACGCAGAAAGTGAAATCCCTTTGAGAAGGGGTTCTTGGACATTCTGAGGAGCGAACATTTGTGGATCTTAACTTCCCAGAGTGAGGAAGGGGTCAGGATCCAGTGAGGGAGGCAGAAAAAATACCTCTCCCTGGAAGCGGAAGCAAGAGACAGACTAAGAAGACTCAAACATCTGAATTGGTAACACCTGAAAGGCAAGCTGGGTCTAAGAAAGTACAGTCCCTAGAGAAAGGTTTTGAGATTAAAAAAGATAATTTTCTATGTTGAAAATGGAGGAAGACAAAATGACACAGTGCTTCTGGATACCATTTGAGTTTGTCTCTCTTTACATACAAATAATTTTTTCACAGATGATTTCAGTTTTGTATATCCTCTTTGGGAAAGATCAAGATAAGACAGACTTGGAGAAAGAAGAGACTGAGAAAATAGATGGTAAATTAAAGGCCATAGAACAGAGGTTGGGGGAACCTTTGAATCAAAATAAAGAGCCTTCAGAGCAATCCAATCTGGTACTTAAAATAACACCAAAAGAGGTGGTTCTAGATGAGAACAGTCCACAGAAGCTTGAAGATACTGCAAAATGGCAGTCTATCGTGATGCTGGAGAGAAAGTCTTCAGCTACAGGCCACTTGGTCAGACTGGATATTGTATGTGTATTCTTAAGGTTCAATTAGATGAAGGTCTATATGCTAAAGTAGAAATGCAGATCCTGTTTAGTGTTGTCCTGGAACAAGCTCATACAGTGGCTGGTGTGCTCCATTTTACAGAGTTTGGAGAACTGAAATACATGTACTGCACCATAGATTCATATTCAGAATTCCACTGGGCTTTTGTCTTAAATTCTGGAGAGCATGATCCATTTGTTAGAGGTGGTGAATATTTTGGAGATGCCCTTGCAAATTGGGGTTGATGGTGCTTCAGCATGTATATCCATTGGAATTCAACAATATTTTAGACATGACATGAAACCTGTTACAGATGTAACTTATAATCCCACGGTCAAATGATTATGAAAATATCTAACAGTAATTTTAAAAAAGATGGTCATAAAACAGAAGGGAAATATAATATCTCCCAAAATAGATTAAATAATGATTTATCAGTTTTTAAAATGTTTAAATGAGGTAAGTAGCACACGTGCTAAGACACAGTGGAATTTAGAAAGGACTGCTGAATTAGAGCAGTATATAAAAGTCTTTATTCCAAAATGGAAACCAGGGAATGTGTTACACTGGAAAGAGGTTTTGTGTATGTTCATACAGGAGAAGAGAAATTATGGGTTCCATCAAAACTAATAAAAATAAGATATGACAGAGGAAGACCACCAGAAGATCCTGGCTACACACAAGAAGAGAGGATTCAAGAAGGCTAAACAGAACAGGTAAGATAAATTCCTGATCCCTTCACATGGGAACAGCTCTAAAACTGAGACATAAAAAAATGTCTCCAGTCAAAAACTTCAGCAATACATGGCCAGAAAATCCTTGGCTACAATAACCTCAAAATTTATTATGCCATTCTTTTAATTGGCATAGATAAAAATGGTTTACAGTTTGGTTTCATCCTGCACATCTCATACATTTATAATATATAATGCTTGTGAGAAATTATATATTTGTGGAACGAAAGGACCACACACCGGGGACTCTGGATCAAACCTGACAGAATTCATCTTTCCAACATGCTGAGACATTGACATATCTGTTCCAGCATCTTGCATGTTCCAGCATTCTGCTTGTTCCTGCCTCAACTGCTTCAATTGCTGTTTCTCATCAAAGACTGCTCCCAAGAGAGCTTTGAAGAAAGCTGATCTCAATTGGTCCAGCATTTTAGACTGTTCCAAATAGGACTTCTATTAAACCTGAAATTTCTCAACATTCAAAGACTGGGCCACAAATATTAATGTTTGCTTAATTAATCATTTTTTCCCCAATTTCCTTTGGTCCCCCAACAGGATTTCTGCATGTCCAAAAAGTCAGCTGGAAAAAAATCATGAGAATGACATCCAATTTTCTTTAGAGGGGGTTGGGTAGGTTTTTGGTTGTTTTTCTGGGGCTATGAATGTTTATTGTCATTGGGAGATAGTTATAAATTATTAATGGTCTTATTCAGAGAGAACACAAGGTTAGACTCAGGGATTTTTCTCTTTTCCTTTTTCTTTTCTTTATCATTCTTAGATAAGGAGAAAAGGGGTTGAAAAGAAAGAAAGGGGAATACAGGGATATTTTATAGGAATAATAAGACAAAAGGTAGATTATTGAATCTATTCAAGGCTTTATTATTCTCAAATAAGGTTATTTTTAACTCTGGTATAGGATTTTGTATATTGATGCAAAAATAAGTCTATTTTTAATACATTGGTAAACTTTAGTATATTGATACAAATTCAAGGTTACTTCCAATACTTTTAAACTGCTATCACAAACTGTTTAGAGTATGATATAATACAAGTTAATTGGTAACAACTCATAGTCATGTCAGACACCAATCTAATTTATCACAGGCATATACATCCTAGGTTTAACAGATAGATATGATTACATAAAGATAGGTAAGTCTTCAAAAACTTTAGAGACCTACAGAATATGGCATTTAAAAATGTCTTTATTATTTTAAAGATTCTTTGACAGTGAGACAGGTCA